ACCCTTTCTATGAACTCGCCCCACGCCAAAACCCCTTCCTACGACTTTCCCCGACTCGATTTTGTTGAGGGAGGAGTGAGGTAGTCATCCTTCTGCCTTTCACCTTCGCATGTACCTTGAGGCGGTTCCCGTCCGGGTTCGCTSAGCTGTTCACTCCCTTGTCCCCCCGCCATAACTCAGCGCAGTCACTTCCCAAACTAACTCCTAAATCACTAACTTATCACTAACACTGACCTCACAATCACGATCGTCAAGGTCTAAGACCCCCACTCAGCACTTTAGTTCGGTCGATTTCATTAGGAATCGAGCAAACTCTCAATTTCTACTCCCTCCACCTCCGCCATTGCCATAACTCCGACGCAACTCTTGTTCCACTAACCTCTCGTTCTACCTATCTAACGCCGAAACTGACTTCACCAGTGTGCTCGCCCGGGGTTAAAACTCCAAATTCGACTCTCCACTCACCCGATTTCGTAATGAATCGAGCGAGTTATGCATATCCCGATGCGCCATACTCGCTGCCCCGCCTTCTTCTCTACCACCTTCCGCACGCACCCCGCACCGGTTCACGTCCACATTCAATCGTCTTCCTCCCCCACTCGTAGCTCAGCCTAGTGATCCGCGGCGCCTCCGTATCACACTCCCCCAACCAGCTACCGCCTCCCCACCTACGCAATTTTCCTTGCTGCCCGTTTTCCTCCTCTGTTATCACCTCGTGGTCAGGGTGTGATGCTGAATAAAAGAGGTATGCTTGTTTTTTCTTTCTTATCAAGGAACTTGAAGGGAAAAGTCTGTCAAGATGTCGCAGGGCGGCGGCGCATCGGGTGGTCCCAAGAAGGGCCTGACGCTCGATGACCTCATTGCGGCCATTGAGCGGCATGAAAGGAACCCGAGCAATATCCCTAAAGTCGATACCTTCCATTTTTGTGGGGAGAGAGTCTCAGAGTGGCTGGAACTGGTGGAACAAGCTCTGGTTGGGCGGTCGGACGTTGTAAAGTTTCAACGCATTCTTCAGTATGTCCTCCACATCTACTACCAGGAAGTGAAGAAAGTCATAGATGCGGCTCAAGGTAGCTGGGAGAGGTTCAAGGAGGGGATGCAGAGGAAATACCACCTGAGAGATGGGTTATTGACTACCGCGGACCTTGAGGCGATGAACAAAGAGGATTTTACGACGATAGGGGTCTTTGTTCAAGAATTTAAGAAGAGGGCGCAAAAGGTCCATGGGATTTCGAAGGGAGCACAGTGCGCCATCTTCCTGGGGCAACTCACGGAATCGGAGGCCGTCGAGTTGACGAGGCATGGAGGAGGTAGCACCAAGCTCACCTGGGCCACCATTGACAGAGGGGTGGAAGTTGGGTGTTTGAACCAGGTGGAGCAACGTCAGGTACGCTTGCAAAGGCAGAAGAGAAAGGAAAGAGATGCCACCGCTTCTGGGACCCCGGGGGTAACAAGGATTGTTACAGACGTATTGGCACAGCAGGGGTATGCGACAGAGCCGGTGGTGCAAGGAAGGGTAGTGACGGCTGTCCGAGTGAAAGGAAAGGAGCCGGTGATAGAGGAGGCTGTTCAAGAAGAACTCTGGGAAGAGGAAGAGCCGGTGCCGGAGCACCTGACAAAGGCCCAGCGCAAAGTGCGTAACTTGGCGCAGGGCGGTCAGGAAGCAGGAAAAGCGCAGGAGCCCCAGGCTTTGACAACAACCCCTTCAAATGTAGCGGCTCCGTCATTTAGTACGGGCCCCTCGCAAGGAGGGGTGCCGTCCTACGGACAGTGGCGCTAGCCAGTGATCAATGCAATCGTACCATGGGGTAGCCCACCACCAGTGGTCGGATCGCAAACGAGTATGCCGCCACCCATCTACCCCGCAGCCCAGGCCCAGCCTGTGGCCCCGCCACTGTCACCCGCCCCTAGTTCACAGGGAAGTGTGGCTGGAGGTGGGAACAAGGGGCAGGGCAAGCAAGGCAACAATGGGAGGGGTGGAGGAAGGGGGCGAGGCAGGAATGGCGAAGAACAGCCATTTCGTCATAACGGACATGTTATATTTTTTGAACGAAATCAAAACTGACTTTTTTTGCCAAAATCCGGTCGGAATTTTTTGATTCTGGGGGTCCGGCGTTCCCAAAACGCCGGACCCCCCGGGTCTATGGTTGAGACCAGATACAATTTATTTATTTATTAATTTATTTATTTATTAATTAATTTATTTATTTATTTATTTATTTTTTGTATCTGGTCTCAACCATAGACCAGGGGTGTCCGGCGTTTTGGGAACGCCGGACCCCCAAGAGCAAAAAATTCCGACTGGATTCTGACAAAAAAAATCAATTTTGATTTCGTTCAAAAAATATAATATATCCGTTTTGACGAAATGACTGTTGACGGAAGAGGAAGGCAATGGAATGGTGAAGGTCAGGGATACCAAGGCCAAGGGAATGAAGGGCAGGGGTACCAAGGCCAAGGGAATCAAGGCCAGGGGTACCAAGGCCAAGGGTACCAAGGCTAGGGGTATCAAGGCCAGGGGGATCAGGGAAGTCAGGGGTATGGAAGACCCTGTTTTGACTGAAGGACGGCCATCTGCCAACATTGTGACCAGCAAGGCCACACCATAAGCTTCTGTAATATAAGACGGGAAGACGAGAGGAGCGGGCTGATTTCCTCCACTATGGATGGGAACATCTACGATCAGTTTGGGGAGGCCATTGATAGAAGGCTTAGAGGAGTGAGGGCGGAAGCCCAACGAAGGGCGGCAGCTGGGCCGCCACCCCCTGCCATGTTCAGGCTATGGCAGGAGAAGGAAGGACCATCGGTGGAGATAGAGGAATTCAGGTTATGGCAGGAAAAGGAGAAACCACCGATTGGGGKAGAGGAAGTGAGGAGCGATGAGGAAGTGACTCAAGGGCTACGAGGAGGAAGTAAGAAGGAGGAGCCCATAATCATTGAGTCAAATGACGAGAATGAGGAAGAAAGAATGAAACCTTCGTCCGTCTTGTTGGGGAAAGTAAAGGACCAGCTGGATAAGATAGGGAGGTACCAACAGAAGTTGGTGGGCCTCTGTGAGGAAGTGAGGAAATGGAAGTCCAACATCCCCAAGGTGTTCCTCCACGACTCTGGTCCGGAGTCAGCGCCTGGGCGACCCAGAGTAAATGTGGTGGGGTCGTGCCTACAATCAGGAATGATGGGAAGACCCCTCACTCCGCAGGCGTGGCTGGCACAGGCAGCACGAACGAGAAATCAAGCCAAAGCCAGCGCCAGCCAAAAACCTCCAAGGGGGGAGCCTGAGCTAGGAAAAAGAAGAGAGGCCGTGGAAGTGGAGGATGACGACAATGAGGAGGAAGAGGACGAGAGGCTTCGCAGGGAGGAGGATCAGAGAGCGGAGCAGCAGGCAAGGAAAAAGGGAGCCAGGGAAGAGGTCGAGCCGGTTGTGCGTGACGGACCGCTCAAAAGGAAGAAGTATGCGGTTCGGTTGGAGGAGGGGTTTGACGTGGAGAAAGTGATCGACCGGCTGCTGGAAGGGCATAACGATCTCATGACCCTGAAGGAGATCCTGGCGTCGGCCCCGCGACTCCGCGATGAACAGAAGGGGAGATTGTCGCGGCGCCTGGTGCCCAATGTCCATCTGGGTACGATCCTGCCCAGGGAGGTAGAGTGGGCGAAGTCAGGCACGAAGATGGATTGGAAGTGCGTGGCCTGCGGCACAGTGGATTTAGTGGTAAAAGGCTCCAAGTCTGCAGCAATGGTGGACACCGGGGCGGAAATGAACATCATCCGGGAGGCGGACGCGATCAGATTCGGGATGGATATACACCGTTCTGACTGCGGTATTCTGCACGGAGCCAGCTGCAAGACAGTATTTTGCGGGACAACCTTGAATGTACTCATCGAGGTTGGAAAGGTGAAGACCCGGGCTTGCTTCTTCATCATGCCGGACGTGGATCAAAGAATCCTCCTAGGGAGGTCATTCCTAAGCACGACGAAAACCGTGATATTCAATAAGCATGAGGGAACGTTAATCATCCACTTATGTGACCCTGCCTGCGGGAATTACGAAATAATTACCTGCAGAAACACAAGGCCAAGGAGTATAAGGAACCGGCCTAATCCTGAATCGTTCACGATCGAAGAGTCGGAAGGTGAGCGCCAGAGGCTCCGGGCAGAGCCCGAAGCATGAGAGAGGGTGAAAGCATTTTTCCTCAGTCTGTCAGACGTTGGGAAGGCCATGGACTTGGTGGCCCTGCATGAGATGGCAGATCCGGATGCCATCCAGGCCTTGAGGGAGCAGGTTCTGGAATGCCCCGAGGCAGGAAGGTTGGGGCTGGTATATCGGCTTCCGAGCAGCGGAAGGAACCCCGCATCAGCACAAGCACAATCTGTGAGTCGGCCTTTTTTAGGGGACGGCTCAAGCAAGGTTCCCAAAGGCGGTACAAGACGGTAGACAAGAAGTGCCGCCCGGTTCCCATCCTCGTTACAGAAGATGAGGAAGTATACTACGAGAGGGAACGAGGGTTGATACGGCGAATGAGGGAGAGTGCTTTAGTAGGGCCATGTCGTATCAACGAAGGGAACGAGGGGAAGTTGATTATAGGGGAACCCGACTTCCTACTACCTCAGGAGCGAATGTTGATGATGGAGTTGATGAAGAGGAGGCATCGCGCCTATGCGTTCAGTGACGACGAGCGTGGCAGGCTGGATGTGGACAAGATACCTATGATCCGCATCCATACCGTGCCACACGAGCCTTGGAACATGAGAGGGGCGCGATATCCCAATCCTGACGAGGAAAAGAAGATGGTGGATTACCTCGACGGCAAAATATGTACGCACGTCGCCGACTATTTGAGTGGATTGTATGCATCCCCGTGATTCTGCTTTATCAAGCCTAACGGGACGCTGCTTTGGGTGCAAGATTTGCAAAGACTGAATGCGGTGACCGTGCGGGATGCTGGACGGTTGCCCAATGCAGACGCGCTGTTAGAATCCTGTGCTGGAAGGCCTATAATCTCGCTTATAGACCTTTACTCAAGATATGATCAGTTCCCAGTCTACCCGCCGAACAGGCCTGAGACGGCTATGCACACGTCGCGAGGGCTAATCCACATGAACGTGACCCCACAAGGGTGGACCAATGCGGTAGCAATGGTCCAACGGGCCATGATTCGGGCTATGCAGTCAATCAACCCTCATATCACACAACCATACATCGACGATTTGGCGGTAAAGGGGCCGGCGGGGAAAAAAAGTGACGAAGTCTCGCTGGGGGTAAGGCGTTTTGTTTGGAAGCACATCCAAGACCTCGAAAAGGTCTTGAGTCTGCTCGAAGAGCATAACCTCACGGCGAGCGGGGGCAAATCCAGACACTGCATGAGGGAAGCGACTATCTTGGGGTTCGTCTGCAGTGAGAAAAGCCGAACGCCGGATGTGAAGAAGACGGACAAGATTACTGAGTGGCCGGCTCCGTTCCACTTAATAACTGATGTCAGGAGCTTCCTTGGTACGTGTGGATTTTGGAGGGTCTTCGTCAAGAACTTTGCCGCTAAGACTGAACATCTGAGGAAGTTAGTTCGTAAGGACCATTAATGGGTTTGGGGTGAAGAGCAAGAAGAGGTGGTGACCAGAATGAAGCAGGAATTTCAAAAGGGGAGGGTTGATGTTAGGAGCGCCAGATTATGATGCCACGGAGACGCGACCCTTTGTCGAAACAGATGCGCGGCCGACTGCCTTAGGGGGAGTTCTAATTCAGGCAGACATGGAAGGAAAGCAAAGACCCTTGCGATTTGAGAGTCGGACTCTCTGTACGACGGAGAGGAACTACTCTCAGTTCAAAAAAGAGACCCTTGCCGTCCTCCATTGTCTGCGAATCTTTCGGAACTACATCTTCGACAGGAGGTTTATTTTGAGAGTGGATCCGACCTCCCTGACCTACTCTCTAAGGAATTACGTTCCATTGGATCCGACGGTTGCCAGATGGCTGACGTACATCTGGATGTTCAACTTCGAATTGGAATGGATTCCTGGTAGTAAGAACCGGGCGGACGGGCTGAGTCGGATCAACTGGGATAAACAGGAAGGGGAGGCGGTGGAGAATACGCCCCCAGTTGACGGATTTCTGGATCAAGAAGAAGATGTTCGTCTCCATATCAACAAGTGGTCGCCGCGAGTGCCCAGTTGTGTAGGCTATCCTATCTGGCAAGCGCCGAATGGGTATGAAAGGAGGGCCGAGCTAGTCCTCAAACCTTTTGAAGAAGAGGATCCTTGGGGTGGTAAAGATGTTCAGTGGATGATGGAGTTAGCGCTGACAAGCTCACATAGCCTAGTGGAGGATATGAGGACGATTATGGAAGGGCCTGGCCAGGTAGAACGGCATGGGGACCTGATGGGAGGAATGTATCTCCTCATCAACACGTTATTGCAGGAAAGCCTCGACCAGTCAGGCTCGTTGAACCCGACAGGGAATGTGGACGAAGTGTCCGGGAGCCAGAACGACGAGTTCGAGGAAGGGGAGATTAAGGAGGCCTTTCGTGCAGAGGAGTATGATGAGATCTACCTAGAGTTGGGACTTCTTTTGTCCTGCGAAATGCGGCTAAGGGATGCAAGCGATAGGGCTCAGAGGATGCTGCAACGCTATTTAGTGCGAGACGACCACCTTTTCGTGAGAAGAGAAGTGGGGAATCCAGGAGAGTTGTTTGCGGTAGGAATCGTCAGATCAACGTCATAGCAGCGCTTCACGATGGTATTGAAGGAGGGCATCGAGGGGTACAAGCCACATATGCCAAGATAAGTGAGCTGTACTACTGGGATGGGATGATGGACATGGTCGGGAAGTTCTGCCGATCTTGCGTACCCTGCCAGGAGAGATCCCGTTTAAGGCAAGGGCAGTCGTTGCATCCAAAGCTAGAGCGAGAGGTGGGGGCTGTAGTGCATCTCGATCTACTGTTTATGCTGCTTGGGGATCAGGGTTATAACAATATCTTCGATGCGCGTGATAACCTGTCTGGCTTCGTTGACGGGTGTGCTATTCGCACAAAGACTGGGTTAGTCTTAGTGAGCTGCATCGAGGAATATCACCTGGGCTATCCTTTCGTCAAGGAATTCGTAATGGACAGAGGATCGGAGTTTACCTGCCAGGAGGTGCAAGAGTTGTTATCAAGGTATGGTGTGGCAGCTAACTACACCACGGCCGCGCACCCCCAGGTAAATGCTCCCGTGGAGAGAGGACATAGTACCATTACTAGTCTCCTGGCTAAGTGGACCGAAGGTAGGCCTAATCAATGGCCAAGGTACGTAAGGACGACGTTTTCTGTCGAGAACATTACAGTAAAAAGGTCCACCAAGTATGCACCGGCGACGCTGTGGTAAGGAAGGCACTCCACCTTCCCTATCGAGAATTTTCTTAAGACATGGAGGCGGCAGGATCTAGAAGTTAGCGTGTCATTCGAAGAACTGCTCGATATTCGGGCACGTCAGATAGGGGCAATAAAAGAAAGAATCCAGGAGGCGTCTGATCAGGTGGCGAGAAGCCGTATGGATGATAAGGTTCGATGGGATCAGTCTGCGCGGGTGAGGAAAGTACCCTTGGCAATTGGGGATGTCGTGCTTCTCTACGATTCATCGCTAGAAAAGCAATGGTCCAAGAAACTCGATAAGAGGTGGTTAGGTCCCTATCGGATCGTACGGGTCGGAGATTTTGGAGCGTACCAGATTGAGGAGCTAAATGAGACTGAGTGGAAGGATTGGGTATCTTGAACGCGATTGAAGAAATTTGTGGCGAGAGAAGAGGTAAGAGAGATGACCTGACTGCCTTTAGAATAAAAGTAGCAGGGTGTGTAGGTTAGGTAGGATGCATGCTGTATGAGTGTGGTTTGGTCTGAGTTTGTTTTGATTATCACCTGTTTGCTTACCCCAATGTGCGCCTGTTGTCTCCTTCGTCTGTTGTGCAGGTCTGACTTTACGAAGACAGCCATGCCAAGAGGAGGGAAGGGGACACGGCCGCCTCAGAGGCCGTTGGGAGCATCAGGAGGATATGAGCGGCATGGGCCTCGCCATCGAGACAGTACTCCGGTGTACGACGATGGGGACATCGAGCTATTCCTGGACAACTTTTGGGATCATGCGAGGCATATGGGCTGGACCGTGGCCCAGGCGATTGAGAGGCTGAGGGGAGCAGGCAGGTTCGAGGAACCCATTACCAGGATTCGTAGGGAGGCGACGAAGAGGCAGGAGGTGGAGACGAGGATGCAGGAGTTGCGACCTTCGCCTGTGGGACCAGATGGCAGGCGGATCCGCCTAGAGATCGAAAATGCGGCAAATTTTATTCCTGCTTTCGAGTGGTTCATGCAGGAGCAGGGTATACAGAGAGATGAGTGGGCGAGGACGTTACCCCTCTGGACTAGAAAGACGGAGAGGGCACTGGCTAAGCAGGTCAGAGATATGGCCCGAGACTGGGAGAGTTGTAGGGCACATCTGAGAGAGGTCGTTCGTCGACCAGAGCCTCCTCATCCCAGAGTCGAGAGGTGTCAGAGGAGTTAGAGGCAGAGGGACCCTGAGCCCAGGGAGGCGAGACCGTCTCGAGGAGGATGGAAGGCCCCACCCAGAAGAGAAGAGGAACCGGAGCCAGAGCCGAGCGAGGGGCATACCCTGAGTGTGGGTTGGGACCAGTGGAGTTCCATCGGTTTACCGAGGGTGGATTGAGGAGGTCGCCAGCACGCACGCAGGGGGAGTCGTCAGCATCTGAGGGGCCCTTGAGGGAATTGGAGACGCATTTAGATATTTCTCGGTGGAGAGCATCGCCTCGGGGCGAGGAGCATGGAGAGCAGGCAGAGGAGGTGTCACGAGAGGAGGTGCCACAGGAGAGGAGGTGTCACGGGAGGAGGTCCAGGATACTCAGCAAGAAAGAGGGCTGGGCAATGAGGGGAGACATGCGGGGAAGGAAGTGATAGAGGTTGGAGAGGACACGCCCCCACAGACGCCAGTGGTGGGTTTGAGACTCGGGGATGCACCAGGGAGCACTCGCCAGGCAGGGGAGAGGTTGCAGAGAGAGGAGGCCCCATTGCCTTCATTAGAAAAGGCCCCTTCGCCAGAAGGGAGAGCAGAAAGGAGGAGAGAGAGGACAACTGTAAGGAGAAAAGCCTTGACCCTGATTGACAGGCACCTAGCAGCTTATGCACTGGAGCACACCGACCTGGAAGAGCCGGCACCTGCAGAGCCGCGCCAGGAGCCGTGGCAGCCCGAGAAGGAGATGGAGGCAGAGATCCCGAAGAGGGTCGACCTCCACACGAGGGAAAGGGCGCCAGCTGGAGAGACAGCAGAGAAAAAAAGGGCGAAAAGAACCAGGAGGATAGACGAGATATGGCAGGAGAGGCAGAGGTTGGAGGTAGCGGGGGAGCTTCCAGAACAGCAGCAGGAGAGGCATAGATCGAAGGCAGCAGGAGCACTCCCAGGTCAGCCATCCAGCGCGCCAGTTAGGACCCCGGAGATCCCTGAGATGTGGAAGGACTTCTGAGAGCAAAGAGGAGAGGAGCTTCCCTCGCCAGTCAGAGTCGGGTTTGGGGTGGCCAGGAAGGCGGAAGAGAGGTTAGATCGCAAAATCAAGTTCCTGGCCAAGACAACTTTTGACTGACACTTGTTATTGGAGAGCGATCTGGTAGGGAAGAAGATGAAGGAAGCAAGCCATGGAGTACGCCTGGAGGCTATGGAGGTGGAAATCCAAGAACTCAGGGCATTGGTAGCCATTCAGGCAGCTATCATTGAGAGCCTGAGGCAGCAAACCCAAGGAAAGGTGGATAAGCCAGAGAGCAGCAGACAGGGAGAGCAGAGGCATCCAGGACATGGGTTGCCAGGACAACCATCTGCAGCAGAGCCTCGCCAGGAACCACCTATGGGGAGAGTTATCCTGGAGCCAGAGGAGGCGAGAGCCCTGAGACAGGCGGAGAGAGAGGCGTTCGAGTTTGGAGCCCCTACCGAGCTTGCGACGATGCCAGTAGCAGCGGCGGGCCCAGTCGTACCTTTGGCAGTTGAGGAGGGGCTACCACCATCTAGCAGTGAGCCGCCTTAGGGCTCAGCAGAGGGATCCATGGACGTGCTCCTTGAGGCGGTGCATACTATGCAAGAGGAGTTGAGTTTGTTTTCACCTGAGCAGAGGATAGAGGAACCTCTTGAGAGAGAGATGGGGATTGAGGCGGAGGGTGCCATCGAGGGTGGGCTCCAGAGGTTGGGCACGCCTGAGTATGGGCTAGAGGAGATTGAGGAGCAGCCCATGGTACTGCAAGGAGAGACACTTGAGAGGAGACCTAAGAGGTTGGACATGTCTGAGTACGTCCCAGTGACAGGGGATTCGAGGAGCAGACTGGGATCTTGGGCTACTGGATCTGGGTCTGGGGGACCAGTTCCTGGGGTAGAGCAGCAGGGGGTTTTCAGTAGCTTGGTGGGATCTCCTTCATCGCCACATCCTCAGCCTAGGAAGAAGAAGTTCAAGAGGAAGGTTGATCAGCTATGCTTCTACTGCAAGAGGGGCATGCATCTGGCTTTGGACTGTCTCGAGTTCCTTGAGGATAAGGCAGAAGGGAAGGTCTCAGAGGCTGGGGGTAAGATGTATGATAGACAGGGTAGGATAGTAGAGAAGTCCGCAGATGGACTTAGGGCTCAGTTATATAGGTAAAACCATGAGGAGTTGAGGAGGTAGGGCCGGTTTGTTTATGTAAGTGGGTGAGTATCTTGTGAGGCATCAGCTTATGTTCTATGTGATACCCTCTTAGACTTAGAGGACTTTTTTGTTGATTGCTACAAGTCTAGATGTGGACTCTAGTGTTCCTACTAAGCTGGGGTCTTGAGGATCAGGGTGATTTAGATGAGGCATGTACATATTTAGGTGGCCTACGCACTGGCTTTGAGAGACAGATCTGACATGTATTCTAGGGGTTGTTGTCAGTATGAGTTTGGTGTGGCTTGAGTTGAGTAAGCTATAATTTGGAGACACTTTCTATGTGAGACATTTTATTCCCTGAGTGTATATTATGATGAGGTTTTATTTCAGGGACCATTCTTATATGTGACGATCACTTGTCTCTCTCACATGTGTGGTTGTACTCTGATGTATGGTGGGTTTGTGCGGACAATGTGTAAAAAGCATCTTATTTTATCATGGGTACTGTGCATATGATTGTAAGCAAAACTGTCTACTCCTCAGTATACTTGTGCGACCTGCCCACGGCTAGTTGATAGGGCAGAGTACAAGGGGAGGAAGCGCAACCCGTCTGTGAAAGGTTGTGAGGATTTTGAAGGTTTATGAGCCCTTGAGGCTCAAAATGCTGACCATGTTGATTGTTGGTTGCTTAAGTTGTGATGAGGACCCATAAGATGGTCTCTCAGTGATTTTGTTTATGATACGCCCCCTGGATTTTACAAAAAGGGAAAGTTTTATGATGTTGTGTGTTATGATGAGACCCCCTCGAGTTTTGAGAAGGGAAAGTTTGGTTTTATGGCGAGACCCCTTGTGATTCCTGGTAGAGGGGATGTTTTGTTCTCAAGCGAGACCCCTCGTGATTTTTGGAAGAGGAGGTGTTTTGTTTATGATGAGAGCTCCTTGGATTTCCGAAAAAGGGGATGTTTTTGTTGTTGGGAGACTCAGCTTCAAAGGTGAGTAAACTGATTTATGACATGGTAAGTTGTCTGATGAGTGATAAAAGTCTGACGAAAAGAACCACTTTTTTGGAATGTTTGAGAAAGTCGCAATGAGTGCAGGGCGAGAGATGTCTCAGGGTGGGTGGCTACTAGCTCTGATCAAATCAGGGGTCACGGCCTGGTGGATTTAGCGGTGATTTTGTTTGTTAGCATGCCAAGGATGTCATGCCTATTGAGGGAGGGCTGGTAAATGCCTTCGCACCCCTGCGTATCACGCAGTGGGCCAGTGATTTTGTTTTCCGACGCCCTCGTCTAACCACCGGTGTTAATTCTGAGACATATTGAAGAAAGGACAAGCTAACGGAAAAAAAGTTAGTACCTTTAGGGCATAACCCCATTGGATGGCTGCTAGCCGGCGCAACCTGGCTGCGGGACCGCGTGGGTAAGAGTTTAAGGGGGGGTTGCCCGCCCCAGTGAAATTACTCCGCGGGATAGTGATGATTGAGAATTTTTGGAGGAATCCTGATTGGATGCTTATCAGAAGAAAATCTATCGTTGCGTAACCAACGAGGGGTACTACCGTTAAATAACAATGCGGTGGACCGTAGTCGTGGCCCGATCAGCCAAGCTATGGTGGGCCAAGGTGGAGACCTAGTCTTTCTGTACTAGACTGCAGAAAGGGCTGAGCGGATATTAAGTATACATATATGCTTATGTATATTTGATTGCGAGAGATTTTGAGAAGGAAGGCGAGAGTGCCTTCAAAGGTCTCGATTAAGGCTCGCGTCCTAATTTCTGGGCAGTGAGAGGCCTGGGTTAGAAACCTGGTACCATATAGTTGTGGAGGCATGGTTTGATGGAGACCTATACCCTGTGTTTGTCGGCTAATCGGATTGGCTCCTTTCTCGCCAGCATTTGGAGTGTGGATGGATTTATAGCTTTCTGATTTGGCGAAGCGACAAGGACGTCGCTTAATATGGTCCGGTAAGTTGTCTGTGCGCATACCCTTACAAGGGTATCTTCCCTGGTTTTTTGCAAGTGGCAGGAAATAAGTCTAATTGAAGTTTGAGTATACCGCGCAAGTCGCGGCAATGTCGGTCATTTACGTTGACTGGATAGTTGACTAGAGTAAAGAGTGCGTGGGCGCGCAGGTTTAAGGCGCGCGTGATTCATCCCCTGATGTCGATTACGAAACCGGCGCGGGCGCCAGTTTATTTATTTTTTATTTTTTGTTTGTTTATTCTTGATTAAACTAGGACGTGGGGGATATTGTTCGTTGATTGGTACGTTCGACCGAGACGCACGTGCGGAAAACGACCTCGAGGACGACTTCGACGGCGGTGACGGCGGCAACGATGTGACTGCAGTAGGTCTTGGCACGCGGGGTGGCACGAGTGGCGGCCGTGGTACAACTTCGTAAGTCTGCGTAAACGCTGGGCGGTTGCGTACACGGTTCTAGGCAGGGAAGAGGGTCAGGCCAATTTCCCTGGCCCCGAGCGCAGCGCCGCACCGTCTCATATAGCGCTCCGCAGATGTGGGTCCCAGACTTGGGCTTAGCGCTATAGGTTATGACATTGGACTAACACTACGGAGGTTTGGGGATCGAGGTTGGCAAGCGTCGGCGGAGCAACAACGGAGCATCGAGGAGGAAGCTGATGGGGTTGAAGGTCGCTGGGCTATCCCCCGTGGTTTTGCGGTTCGTGGGGTTGCGCGGCAGAGTCGAGGGCGACACTAATAATTTATTTGCCCCTTCTTTTCCTTTGCCGGGTGGCTCCGGGTTGAACTTTTGTGATTATTGTTTTAATTTTTGTATTATTCGCCCTTAATATTAAGCGTGGCGGGGCCGCGCGGGGGTGTGTGGTATCCGCGGGAAACCCCGTAGCAGCCACACCCAAACCTTGAATAGGGGCGCAGGCTAGAGCCGCGCTGGCCAGCAGGTGCGATGCCTGCAACGGCAGGGAAGCAACAGCGGGCCGGGGCACTAGCTGCTAAAGCAGGCCATGTGCACCAGAAGTGCCCGCCCGAATCCGGCCTCCGAGAGAGGCCAAGTCCACGCAAAGGTAACGGAGAAGAGGGGGGGGGCGTGCCACTACGGGGCATTGCCCCGGTCGAGTCCTTCGGGACATCCGTTAAAATTGAAACGATACGGGGAAGATTAGCACAGCCGCTGTGCAAGGATAACCTGCGTAAATCCGAGGAAAGCCGCGGTGCCTTGGCCTTCACTTCCGAGGTTTTTTTCTCCGAAAATGGTTGGTACTGTGAGGGGCTGTGCTAGCCGCAGGCGCCGAAGAAAACCTGCCAGGAAATAAGAGAGGAGGCAGGGCGCATACGAGGTGATAACAGAGGATGAAAACGGGCAGCAAGGAAAATTGCGTAGGTAGGGAGGCGGTAGCTGGTTGGGGGAGTGTGATACGGAGGCGCCGCGGATCACTAGGCTGAGCTACGAGTGGGGGAGGAAGACGATTGAATGTGACGTGAACCGGTGCGGGGTCCGTGCGGATGGTGGTAGAGAAGAAGGCGGGGCAGCGAGTATGGCGTAGCGGGATATGCATAACTCGCTCGATTCATTACGAAATCGGGTGAGTGGAGAGTTGAATTTTTGGGTTTTAACCCCGGGCGAGCGCACTGGTGAAGTCAATTTCGGCGTTAGATAGGTAGAACGAGAGGTTAGTCGAACAAGAGCTGCGTCGGAGTTATGGCAATGGCGGAGGTGGAGGGAGTAGAAATTGAGAGTTCGCTCGATTCCTAATGAAATCGACCGAACTAAAGTGCTGAGTGAAGGTTTTAGACCCTGACGATCGTGATTGTGAGGTCAGTGTTAGTGATAAGTTAGTGATTTAGGAGTTAGTTTGGGAAGTGACTGCGCTGAGTTATGGCGGGGGGACAAGGGAGTGAACAGCTSAGCGAACCCGGACGGGAACCGCCTCAAGGTACATGCGAAGGTGAAAGGCAGAAGGATGACTACCTCACTCCTCCCTCAACAAAA